CTCTGAATGATCATTTCAAATGATCATTTTATAATTATCAAATACTTATAAATACAGCTTGTATCTTAGCTTAAAATTAATAAAAAATAAAAATCAATCAATAATAAATTAATTAAGTTTTAATATTCTTTAGATAGTATTTTTATAACCTCTCATCTTAATTGCAAAGTTATTCTTGTATTTTTTTTTATAATTTCTCATCACTATTGCAAAGTTATATTATCTTATACATTCTTATATTTGATCTCTCATATATATTGCAAAGTTAATAATAATATTGAATTAATAAAAGAAAATTATATTTTACTTGTTTATAAACTAACTTTAAAAAAATGCTTGACTTATTATAAATTGAATTATAAAAGGCACAATTACCTTTGAATCTTTTTGATTTCATTTTAGCTGACCAACAAAATGAATATATATTACCTATTTTTAGATAACTTAGTAAACTTTCCCAACTTAAAATTATTTAATATGTTAATTTTCCTATCTGACTTTATCACATGTACCCTCGTAACAAAACATAAAGTCATATTAAAATGATAATAATATAAAAATTTCATTTTTTATCTATAAATATTATTTTTATACAAAATTTGTTAATACAAATAAGAGTTTTCATCAGATCAGATTAATCTATATTAAAATTTATTATATATTACAAAAGAATAAAGAGTATTAAAATAAAAAAGAATAGAAAAGAATTAGAAGAAATATTATATAAAGTATAAAAAAATCAAAAAAAGTATAAAAGAGATAAAATAAAGATAAAAAAGAGTCAAAAGAGATAAATATTAATATAAATTGATAAAATATAATAAATAATTCAATAAAAAAAAAGATAATTATATAATTATTTTTGAATTATTATTTTTCTAATATTTTTGAGATTTTTAATTTTTAATATATTTTTTAATTAATAATAATATTTTATGAATTTGATTTAAATTCAAATATATCTGATCTGATCTGATTCATTCTGTATTCTAATTATAATATTAAATTATAAAATATATTTGTTAATAAATATTCTGTAAAGTTATTATTAAAACTATTAATTAAAATTATAATATTTTTTAGCTTAGTTATTTTAATATATGTTCAAATTGATATTATTATTTTTTAACTAATAATTCATATTATAACTGAATTTTCATTTATAACACTAAATTAATCAAAAATTTATAGTCTTATTGATTTGTATTATCAATCTAATATATATTTCAGAAATTTATATCTCAAAATCTAGTTTATAAAACTATTTTTTATATTTTAATAAGAAATATTTCTTGTAAAATTTTATTATATTTTTGTTTGTCAAATAATCTTGATTCAAATACAATTTTTTTATATTGTTAATATTATTAAAGAATTCTTATATAATTTGAACTTTTTTGGTGATTATTTTTGATAAATTCATTATTTTTTATTAATAATTCTTTATTAAATTTAATCATGTTATTTTATTAACCAATAGAATTTTAGCAAAATTAAAAAATTAGCCAATCATAAAGAAAACTTGTTATATATAATAAAATTTTTATAAATATACATATTATAAATTCTCTTTAAATACATGATATAACTTGGTTTCAAAATATATATTTTTACTTTATAAATGCACTCTCTCTAAGTGCACATTGCTGTTTTTTAATATAATTCCAAGAGGGAGAGATTTTACTGTTCTATAATATAGGAACTCTTAAATTGATAATGTGTTTCAATTTTAAAATGCTATTACTCAACATAGAGACAAACTTTCAAAATCTAACTGGTAACTTTTGCAGAACTTATTACAGAGAACAAACATATTGTCGATTTAAGAGTTCCTGCACTATATGTAAATCACTCTAACTATTGCTTTACTACTTGCGTTCTTATATGACAACCAGTCAGATGATCAGAGTCTTACTGGTTTTGAACCCCTGCAACAAAACCAGACAGTGACACAAAAATCGCAGTATGCCCCAAATATGGTTTACATGAAACGATGATGATATAGCGATAGAATGTAACGTAACATCCCTATCCCTAGATATCCATCTTTCATTATCCCTTTCGCTCAAAAGCTTCTTAAGATGATGTTATATAAACTTGTTGTACTTGGGGATGGTGGTGTAGGCAAGGTATTTTTTAAGGCTTTTTCTTACAATGCTTGGCGGTTCAAACTTACATTACTCTTTATTTTTTCAACAATCAGACAGCACTTACAATTCAGGTTAGTATACCTATTTGGTATTTACCTTTTACTGTTAAATTTTTCTTTCCCTCGCTCACTTTAACTTTAAATTTATTAATAATGTAGTTGTGTCTAAATCATTTTGTCGGTGAGTACTTTCAGGCTTATGAATATTTTATCGCTATTATAAATGATATTATGTTCTAATTAATTTATCCATCCATAATTACTATATTCCTACTGCTTGTGAAAATAGAGGTTAGTTTTCCCGGATTTCTTGATACTATAATTTATTAGTATAATTGAATATTAACTCTACAATAATAGACATACGATCCCACAATTGAAGATTCATATCGAAAGCAAGTTGTGATAGATGATCAACCATGTGTTTTGGAGGTATTGGATACGGCAGGGCAAGGTGTGCAATTCATATTTACCTAAGATTATAATTGATAAGGGTACTTAGACGAAATCGATTTTTATGCTTGTTTAGATTGTTATCTTAGTTAATTGAGGTTTTTCAAGGAAAAAAATACATTGAGTAAATATTGAATAATATTAACTTAGGATGCTATCTTAAATGAAGTTGGAGGAACTTCTGGATTTAGCTCATCATCTTTCAAGATAACCGAGATTTTATAGAATTCAATGTTGCAATAATCAATATTAATTAGAAGTGACTTCAATTTCTCATCTTTATTTTCGCACCTATAGAGGAGTATACTGCCCTGCGTGATCAATGGATCAGGTAAGATTTAAAAAATATACAATTTTTTAGTTTATTTGCTTTCTTTGAAATATTATAAAACATCATTTACGTAATATCACTACAGAGATGGTGAAGGTTTCCTTCTCGTATATTCAATATCATCTCGATCTACATTTGAACGGGTACAACGATTTCGGGATCAAATAACTCGGGTCAAAGATTCAGATTCGGTTCCTCTTATGCTTGTTGGCAACAAATGTGATAAAATTACTGAACGGGAGGTTTCACGGGAAGAAGGCATGAATATGGCTCGACAACTTGGATGTGAATTCATCGAAAGTTCGGCAAAAACATGTGTAAATGTTGAAAGAGCATTTTACACAGTTGTCAGAATGATACGGGCTGGTCGTGAGGGTGGGAAAGAACCTAAAAAAAAGAGAAGGCTATGCTTATTATTATAAATTCGGTTTTGAAGTGAATTTTGGATTTTTAGTGAATACAGTTATCATGTACAAAATCCCGGAGAAATTTTTGGAAATCCAGAAATACTCAAAACTTATAATTTTTGATTATACAGTTTTTTTAAATAGGTTTTTTATTAAATTTAATTTATATGTTTTACCAAAAGATTTGGTATTTAGCATGTTTTTATTATATAACATTCACAATAAATACATTTTAACTGGTTTACTTGAAATCATTCATTAGTTCAATTATGATATTTTTGGTACACGAATCTACAAAATCGATCCAATCATGGTTATAAGTGAAAGCATAAAGATGATTTTGCTTTATTCAAGTTCAGAATTCAAAGATTCCGCAGTCGCAAATATCACGGGTCGTTAAATAATTTGGCGAATTCTCGGAAATGTGCAAGTCGCTCTTTTGCATATGATGGAAGATTGTGATCGATGGGAAAACTAATATCAAACAGACATTTAACATTATTATGGATCGAGTTTTTGTATTGCAAATGTAAAGGATGATATACAATACCTTATTACTTTTCCTTTATTAGTGTTGTTATGTTTAGATTCATCGGAATATTTTAGGCATTGATTCTTTGATTCCAGTACTACTTTCACGCCATCATCAAATAACATGGTAAATTGAGAATCTAATGTCCTCACACACCAACCTAAACCTTCAATATATTTGCACGTCATATTTTCGACCGGATTTATTTCACCTAAACAGGAGTTAGTTGACTTAAACGAGATAGAATATGTTGAAGATGACGGATGCCTTCGATTTGTAGTGTATTGAGTACCGGCTTCATCACTTTTAGACCCATTGACGTGAACTGGTAGTTGGGATACGACCGCTGGTGTGGCTAATTCAGGGGTAGGTGCTGATCTTGCCTGACGTAAAGGGTTTTCCCGGTGATTATTTATCTTGGTATCCAATTCTTTATTTTTTACTTGAGATCTCGAACTTCTCAGGATCAAGGGGTGCACAGTACTAGAATCTAAAATACCATTTTTTTCAATATCTAAACATTGTTTTAGACAATCTTGCATGTGTTTAAAAACAGGCAATAGCTCCGACGGCAGTTTTAGGTCCAATTTATTGTTTATAGTGAATTTGTGTTTGACAAAATTATCTTTATGTGTCGAAGATGGAATCGTAATTTCAAGAGATTCCTTGCCCACAGAATGGTGAACCATTGTCCGATTATGGAACCACATTTCGAAATCAGCCATTGGTCCATTTTCCATTAAAATACATTTGGCTTGTGGAGAGTAAAATATTATCTATAAATCAAATTTAAAATCAATCACAAATAGACAATCTGCTATGAAAAATCATAAAGTTTAAAAAGTGAGCATGCAAACCTTTGGAGTTTTACTTTTGACTAATTCTATAAATTTTGCTGCATAACGATATTTTTTCAAATACTTAATAGGTAATTCATCAAAAACATATGATTTTATTGGATTAACTAATATTGCAGGCGTTTCTTTTCCAACTGGTCGCTCAAATATATCTATCTATCAAATAATTAGTATAAAGCAAAACAACAAAAACCAAGAGAAAAGCAAAGAAATATACAACTAACTTTTCCGCCATCTTTGGTGATGGTAATCAAATATCGATCGTCATAAAAATCCAAGAATACTGTTCCCGTTGGTAAGATTTCCACAAACGCGTGCTTGGTTTTTTGTTTTAGTGGTTTAAGTCGGTCAGTGTTGAATTGTGCGTTTTTGGAGAATCCGCGTTTGGACTTGACATTTTTATAAGAGTCTAAAGGATTTCTTGATATTTTTGAAGATTGGTCATTGATTGAAAGATCACGTAATCGAATAATAGGTAACTTTTGGTCAAAAAAGGGATGTTCCAAGATGCGATTAAGTAGAATTCGCTTCTCGGGTTTCTTTCAAATCAATCAAATGAATAATAAATAAGAGTACAAAAATCTTTATACATAAAAAAAGTATAACATTACTCACTACTTGTAATAACCGATTAATCAAATTTTTGGCTTCTTTTGAAAGTGTATCCGGTAACTCGTAATCGGCTTTTGTTACCCGATCCAGTGTTTTTTGTACTTCTCTACTCTAAAACGAGAATCAAAATGAATATAGATGATGAAGTTAATAATAGTGGAAAACAGAGTAATAAAATTCTTACTTCAAAAGGTGCTCGACCGGTTAATATAGTAGCAAGCATACAGCCAAGAGACCAAACATCAGAAGCTAGTCCATATGGTTTTCGTGATATAATTTCACTTATAAAAAACAAACACAAAAAATAAACATTAATACAACCGATACCTTTATTAAATTCAAATAATTTTAATTTAAGTCTTACGGAGATATATAATTGGGAGTTCCACACAAAGTGTTTGGTTCACTATTCCTTTCGTTAACATTAGTAGCCAAGCCAAAATCCGCAATTTTCTATGATATTTATTCATATTAATAAGCATTACATTACTTAATTTGACACATATATATATGTGAAATAATTACCAATTCATTCCTTTCAGTCAATAAAATATTTGACAGTTTTAAGTCCCTATGCATGATACCATGTTCATGCATGTACAAAAGACCTTCTATGATCTGTATCATAACCCATCTAACTTCAGCTTCACAAAGCGGAACTCCGCGTTGTTGAATATATTTGTAGAGTTCTCCATTAGGGCACAGTTCCATTACCATATAAAAATATCTAGAGTCTTCAAATGAGTAATAAAGCTTGAGAATAGACGAGTGAGATAGAATTGCATGGATCTTCGCTTCTGAATATACACGTTGGAGGGCATCCGGTTTTAAAGATGACTTATCAATCTAATATAAACATACAAAACACAATATAGTATTATAGTAATAAATAATAATAGCAGTAATAAACGTGATCGTACAATTTTTATAGCAATCTCATTTCCACGAAATTCTCCTTTTTTCGCAATGGCTTTATACACATCTCCGAAACCCCCACGACCAAGTAGTTGACCAATATTAAAATCCTGAATATGAAGCAATTAATTATTAGAAAAAATGTGTTTTAATGAATGATTTCTTATTTAATTATACTTACCTCTATAACATGCTTAGAATAATCACATGAAAAGTTTTCGTTTGTATGCATTTGTAAATGATACCCTTTACGACAATTGCTTTCGATATGTTTTCTTTCTGAAGTTACTTGTATATTCTTTTCATTTTGAAAACCCTTAGGTCGAAGGGCCTTACTTTGAGTGGCATATGATCTTTGGGGATCATGTCTGAACTGTTCATAATGATCGTTTGGGTCTTCAGAAAAATAACTAGTCATACTTTCGTTCCTCGCTCGTAACTAAACAACTGAAAAAATATTACGTCACGCGTACCGCATAGATCAATCAGATATCCGGATTGGAATGGAATCATCTAACGTTAATCTTGAAGTTGAAAGAGCTTCTTTTGAATTTTGGTCAAACTACCATAAACCATCAACTTTTTGCATTATATAATAATCCAAATAATGCATAATGGCAAATTTCATAAAATTCAAAATTTATAACTCATGTTACAAGTAAAAATTTAAAAATCCAACTGCTGCAAATATTCTGATTAACCATTTGCAGCAGAGTTTTTTTATTAATTATTATTTTAGGCAGAGTTATAACAATTTTTAATCACATATCAAAAAGTTGATATCTTATTTAAATACAACAACAAAATACTAAATGATAATGAAAGAGCAAATTTTAAACTATAAAAATAAACTATATCAAATAAAAAGATGTAATAAATATTTAAAGTTTCAACAAGTTAATATTGTTATGATTTAGATTTTCACTAAATCATAAAGTCATGTGCTGTTAAAATCTTATATTCTTATTGGTTATATT